CTAAGAAAACAAGTTAAAAATCAACCTCATCTATAGCATAGATGCATAAGAAAACATTGCTACTATGTAATGTTAGAATGGAAGGAGGTTAGTTTCCAATAAGATTTATTAACTTAGGTCCAAACCAAGATGATATATATAGGGAATGGGGTCAGGAAGCAGTTAAAGGGCCACTGAGCGCTGTCTCAGACCTGACAGTCCTGCCCATCCTGTTTTAACTTCCACCACCGTGCTCAAGACCACACTCGATAGGTAAATTTCAAGTTGCAAAGGGGAGAAGAGAAATGCCCGAATATTAATATCGGACGTCAGGACATGGTTGTGGTGGTTTTATAAATCACTTCATTATCTGAACTTTAATCCTTAGGGGAATATTTTCACCCTTCAACAGCTTGCAGCCCTCTAAAAGCATTCACTCGCATCTGAATATTTTTCAGGGCGGATTGAAGCAGTGAATCTGGTGGGAGAGAAAGGCGGAGGAAGGAAGGAGCTGTTGTATTTGGCGGCTGGACTCAGGTAGAGGAAACAACCCGGGAAAGAATTGAAAAGCATAAAGAGACGAGTTCCCACAGGCAGCCAATGTCAATGCCTTAACTGTGCTTGAGAAGCACGAACCAGGGTGTAACCTCGCTTTTCAAAACTAAATGTGTCTGAAACGGTTACAAAGTTTATTAATGGACTTGAGAGACCAGGCGAGTTTTTGATCTTGAGATCCTTTCTTATTTTATTGAGGGAGGGCTTGGGTAAAGAATACATTCTAAATGTTGCGCCTGCTGCAGGCTAATTTATAGAAAGACGTTCGTCCTGTGTTCTTCTCTAATCCCCCCGCCTCCCCTAGGATAGCAGAGACTCCTGGGTTAAGGCTGAGCTAACCGCTGCCCGGCTCCTCCAGCCCCTGCCAAGGCAACCAGGTGGAGGTCTCTCAGGTGGTGGGCACCCAGGTGGGGGGCTCCCAGGTGGGGGGCACGCATGTGGGGGGCTCCCAGGTCAGGTGGGGGACTCCCAGGTCGGGGGCACGCAGGCGGGGGGCTCCCAGGTCAGGTGGGGGACTCCCAGGTCGGGGGCACGCAGGTGGGGG